CTGCTGTGGGTAGGTAGGATTTTACCGGTTTTATGATTTAATTTTTTTTAATGTTGTAAACCACCTAGTGTCACCATATGTGAGTTGGGCGACCACATACTAAATTTCTTTGATTAATTTGTTAACTATAGCAATAGAAGAGGATCTATTTCTACTGGGTGCAGAACATTGGAATCTTCTGTTAAGTTTCATTCTATTATTTTCAATGCATTCCTTAACTGTGTATTCATTTTTTTTTTAATTTCTATTTTTTTGGGGTATTTGCTGTCCCACTCAGTTTTGTATCGTCTGCAGATTGGATAAGCATGCCTTCACCTTTTCCTCTAAGTCCTTAATAAAAATAGTGAAGACTAAAAAGATCCAGGACTGCACCTTCATTTGAAATCAAATTTCTAATTTGATGAGATCACTTTAATACAGTACATTTTTTCTGCCTGTTCTATATTCACTTAACTGTTGTGGTGCCATCTATCCCACACTGAATTAGTTTGGTATGTATGGTTTCAGGAAGTACTTTCTCAAATGTTTTGCTGCAATCAAGATATATTGTAGTTACAACATTCCTGAAGTCTACTAAGAAAATTGTCAGATCAAAAAATGAGATAAAGTTATTCAAGCAAAATGTGTTTCTGACAAACCAATTCTGATTGCTTGCAATTATCCATTGTTTTCAAATGCTTACAGATTATCTCTTGATGATCAGCTCTAGAATCCTCTGTTATTAGTGTCAGACTGACTGCTGCACAGTTTACTAGACTTTTTTTTTTAACATAGAATGCTTTTTCTGAGTAATATAGCATTTCATTCACTCTCCATAATTTCTCAAAACCAATACATAAGAATTGGGCCAAACCACCAGCTAGTTTTTATTGCTATTTAAATAAATAGGAATAATAAACACCAGCAAAAGTATTGTTTTTGTTTGAACATTGCCAAGTTCTTTCATTTTGATTTCTGAATAAAAATAGACATTTTCAGCATTTATCGCAACTCTTCTTTTTCTGTTTCTTCTCGTTTTGTTTTTTTAACAAATTGTATCCTTCAAATCCTATATTAAATCAAGGGCATCTTCTTAGTGAGTCTTTTAAAATAATTAAGTCCTATTTAATTTTCCATGCTAAAAGCTTAGGCTTCTCTTGTTACTCCCACATGCTGAACCTCACTGAAAACTATAAGGTTTAAGAGCCAAAGTTCCTTCTGATATTTCACTGAATGACCCATTTTTGTAACACTCCTACTTTCTACTGTGTGAAAACTCTCACCAGAGGTCCTACTTTCTGTTTCTTTATTTCCAGCACTCACAGGATTTGATGTCCCCTTAAATCAAACTAGCAAAACTGTGACTAAATATTTGTTTTAATCATTCTTTTCAAATGCTATGCATCTCATGCCCACGCTGTGGTCCCAGGAGTCAAATCTTTTCTGTCAATATCATTTGTGTAGCTAGTCATTGATTGGCAGTATTCCTTTCTTTCTTTCTTTCTTTCTTTCTTTCTTTCTTTCTTTCTTTCTTTCTTTCTTTCTTTCTTTCTTTCTTTCTTTCTTTCTTTCTTTCTTTCTTTCTTTTCAGATCTCTTCCATAAACTGAGAATCACCTGATCACCCAGGGCTTAACCTTTCTTTCAAGGTTTTGTTAAAGTCTTTGGTGATATAGTTGTGGCTGTTCTCTGAAGTATCATTGGTTCCCACATATATTAACAGGGAGGGGATAATTATACTTGAGAATTCCTGGAAATTGTTCTATTACATCCTGATTTTAGCATCTTCCAGATAGCACATTTCACAGTGAATCCAATTGGCATGTACTGCATTTGTAGACATTCCTTGTGATTCAGCAACCACTGTGATTCTTCTTTCTTAATATAGGGCATCCTCTCTGGCATTTAGAGAGCCACCAACTCTCATTCTTTCATATAATGTCTCTTAAATGTTAAGAATTTGTTTCAGCTGCAGAGGTCTAAAACTCACTGGGTTGCTACTGTGCAGAATATCATATATATTTTCTGCACCAGACGTATCCTCTGCTTGTCTTATTGAGAATTGCATCCACTATTAGATTCTGTGTAGTACTTTTCTTTAAACTAAGAAATAATAATAATAATAGTAATAATAATAATAATAATAATAATAATAATAATAATAATAATAATAGGAAGGGATCTTGGAGGTCATCTAGTCCAACCCCCCCACTCAGGCAGGGAACCCTATATCATTTCAGACAAATGGGTGTCCAGTATCTTCTTAAAAACTTCCAGTGTTGGAACATTCACAGCTTCTGGAGGCAGGTTGTTTTTTATTTTTATCCTTTCTCATCAGCTGAACTATGGCTAATTGCTGCTGCAGTCCTTCATCTTTTTCTTTGAAGATTGCTATAAGTTTGCATTTGTTACAAATATAGGGTTTTTTTCTGGTTGAAAAAAAAAAAGAAATGCTAAATTGAGAACTCGTGTCCATTCATCCTCATATTTACTTTTTAAAGGATCCTAGTTGAAACTGCAATTATGCCTCCTTCATATTGGCTAGGTAGGAAGAAGCTACTCAAGACACAACCTCTGCAATTAGCAGCTATCCAGATGATTTCAGACGAAGCTCAACATAAAAACTAAATGTCTCAGAACATCAGCTTTGTTCCTTCCTTCTTCCTGCTAAACTCCAATTTTCAACTTATTCTTTTAAAAGGATTTGAATGGTAGCCCAGGCAGTTTTAAATTGGAATTGCCCCTGGTGTCATCCCTATAAGACCAGACTAAGAAAGATAATTGTCATATAGATCTAAAACTAATTTTATTAATATAGCTGTAGTAGCAGAATTGTATAAATGAGAATATGCTTCTCCTTCCTTCAGTTTATCTTCATGTGAATTACAGAGATTACTCCTATTGGTTTCTTGGAATGAATTCAAGCCTTTGTGTTTCTCTGGATTAAGTCACCTAATCTAAACCGTTGCCAACATGGTTAAACGTACTTAAATTCACATTGCAGCAATTATTTTAAGAGCGTCATTTGTACTGATAAACAACCATAAGCAAATATTTTGTGAATTGGAACCTTTTGTTTTGGGATGCCTAAGTACAACTTCACGCTTCTAGTTGGAATAAATAATACAAGCAATTGTTGAAAGAAAAATCTTCATCAGGATCCAGTCCAAGCCGGGAATAAACAAAATGGAGACTGCTTTAGAAAGAAGGTTATTGTTTATTTAGTTGCCAGAAACTTCAGTGACAGCAGCATGTTTCTGGGGTGGCTGACCACATGGTGCTGGAAGTGGTGGGTTTTTATACCTTCTTGAGCTTTTGTGTTTGGAGTTGTTCTTGTTCCTGTGGCATGAACTTTGATCTGAGGTTCAGTGTGCCCTTTTGGTATTCTAATGGTGGTGGGTTAATTCTATTGTGCCGTGTCCTGCTTCCCTGGGGCTGTGGGAACGATGGCTATGTCCTGTGTTGGATGGGTGAAGAATTGCTGGTTCTAATCCTATCACTCTGCTATTGTTAGCTATCAGTTTTGCTGCAAGGGATTTCAAAATATTTTGTCTTCAATGGGCTTCTGCCTGCTAGTATTGGCTCATGAATGCAGCCTCAGTCTTTCTGAATGGGATTATCAAATCTGCATTTACACAGAGCTGGCGTGCTTAGTTTTTGTTTAGGGCTATTAAAAAAAACTGGCCCTGCTTTTCTGCCTTTAAGATCCTTTGGGGAAATATAATATTCTGCCTTTTTAATATCCCCCCAAATATTTCCTTCTCTGGGGGGGGGGGCTGACTTCCCACACAATAAAACTTGCTGATTTAATTAGCTGGGGATATGTTAAAAATAATGGAATGGGTGGAAGAAGATGTGGAAGACCTAAGTAGGAATTGTGTGTGAAGGAAATTCTTAAAGCAATAAAAAATCCCAGAGAAAGGTTTTCCCAGCACAGTCCATTTTTGTTCATACTGTATGTAAAGGCTTTTAATTTTAATCTTCTACTACCAGCAATAGAGTAGTATTGCTGGTAGTAGTAGATTAAAGAGTAATTTTTTTCTGACGTATTTATTTTGTAGTGAACTAATATATAGTTGTGGGTTTTTGGTTGTGTGCTTGTCTCACACAATATAGTTTACATTTGCAATACCTGAATCATACTAAGGCCAGACAAACCCCTTGGGACTTTGAAAATCACAAAAGAAAAATCTCTATCTTATATTTTAGGGACAATTTCAGAAAATTTCATCAACCATTAATTATGTGAAGAAAAGATTCCTTTTTTATATCAGCTACTTGCAATCTTAATATGGAATTACTGCATGTTTAATTACAACCTATAGTTTAAATGTGTCTAAGCTCCAGACTGACTGACAGTGGAAACCAAATTGGAGTTGGGTTCAATCACTATACAGAAATGCTTTTTATTTATCTGGAATTTGACTGATATTTGCATTTCCCTGAAAAATGTAATCTGTGAGCCGGGAGTTTGCAGAGGTTAGCAAGATTATCATCTACTCATTTTAACATTGCTCAGTTTGAGAATTCAAGGTTACCAAAATTACAGTGATTTCTGTGTGGTCATGCTGTTCGTAAATAACAGAATGCAGAAACCAGCTGAAGACTGATGTCATTAATGCCCTATGGTTTGTATTGCTGTGGTTTGATTATTGGAAAAAAAGATGTAGTTCATATGAGAAACCAAATGTCCAGAACATGAATAAAAAAATTGTATCTTATATCCAACAGATGAATGAAATATTGGACTAGAAGACCTCCACGGTCCCTTCCAACTCTGTTATTGTATTATTGTATATCACAAAGAATTTTCTTTCTTTAAAGAGAAGACTTTTTATTAGAGCCTTAGTCCATGCTTTTGAAATGCCCCAAAGCAATACAACATAGGTTTAAAGTTAAACATTGTTATTTTAATAAATCAGAAGTATCTTCCTTTGAATGTCTTCATTGCTGTTGTTTGACTGTGACCTTAGTTTGTGTTCTCTTGATCTCTCTTTATGTTTGTTTGTTTTTAAAACATAGCTTGCTGACGATCAGGGATTGGTTTTGATGACCACTGTTGCCATGCCAGTATTTAGTAAGCAAAATGAGACTGTAAGTATTCTCACAGTCATCGGCTAGAAAATGAAAGCTTTAAACTAGCACATACAGTATTTGAATGGCTTGATGAAATCATGTGTATTTTTTTTAGATTCTGCTGTTTCCCCATATATTTGTGCTAGCTGTTGAAATAAAAGCACACATTTTTAAGATCAATAAGCATTAAATACTTTTTGAAATATAATATCATGAATTCATGAAGCACAAATTGAGAATGCCAAGCTCTCTATTTGCATGTGTATTGCAGCTTGTAAATGGGAAGAGGAATATATCAAACAGGATATAAAACCTAGAAATTGTTATATAAGATTGAAAATTATTTGTTTCAATTACGGTACATGTAAGTATGTTAAATGCTCCTAGATTATTTGCATTATGTCTCAAACATCTGAACTCATTATACACTATCTGGCTGTGTAAAACTCTTGCCTGTAGTAGCACCCTGCACATATACACAATTGGCTATACATATATATGAATACAAATGCATGCATTTTTATTGTTGTTCCTATAGAATCCTTGATTAGAACAAATGTCTGTACTTATGGTATAAAGTTGCCTAAGGAAATAAGTTCAACGAAGTTTTAATATGTGTTTAACATTCTGCTTCATTTCTAACTTTTTAAACTGCTTTTTACTTAATACTTCCCTCTGAGGTATCAGTTAGCAGGATCAGGCGGCTGGGGAAGTAAGTTGCATATTTCCATAAAAGGCGAAAGATTTATACGATCTGAAGAGAAAACAAAGTAAATTGCATAGTTCCATGCAACATTTTTCCATGATGCACTTCCAGACTCAAAGAGTTTAACTGAAAGCATCCTTATGAGTTGAAACATTGCACACCATATATGCTTTTCCTTCCAGGATTAGGAAAAAAAATGGCTGTTGATTTTTAGAGAAGTGGTCCATGCAACATCTCAGAGAGGCTCTGTTTCACTCAAGCACCCTGTTTCACTCAAGCATCCTTCAGCATGGTTCTTCCAAGGATAAAAGTCTTCCTTCCTGATGCTGTGTGGGAATTGCCACATGGCCATCAGTGCAGTGATAAGACTTGAGGTTGCCCAGCTTCACATGGGCCTAGTGCAGGGGTAGGCAACCTTGGCTCTTTTATGACTCATGGATTTCACGAGTCATAAAAGAGCCAAGGTTGCCTACCCCTGGCCTAGTGTGTAGACAGGCAGATTAACTACAGGGATCCTTACCAATAAAGGAAGAATTACTGTAGCTAATTATCTGTATTCCTTGGTGCAGTTTTAATCCATATGGGATTAAACTGATTGGTTGAAACCATTTCTCTGATTTCAATTGTTTATTGACCAAACATTAAACATATATTTATTTTAAAATAGAGATCAAAAGGCATTCTTCTGGGAGTTGTGGGCACAGATGTTCCAGTGAAAGAACTTCTAAAGGCAATTCCAAAATATAAGGTAACTTATCCATTTGTAAACTGCTACTAAGTCAAAGCTAATTGGATTTGTAGAATTGTAAATATAAAAAGCTATAGAGCTAGGTCCAAAGAAACACTTCTTTGAAAAGAATTGCTTTTAGCACAAAAGAAAACTGGTAGAAGCACACAAGCCCATTCTACTTGTATAAGCCACTGTACAATGTCTTGTGCAAGACCGATGTGATTACTGTTGGGATGTGATCTTATGTACTATCTGAAGACATGTGCTCACTCTATAATGGTGCATCAATGGTGCATATTAAATTTCAGCAGCATCAGCTTCACTTTTTCAACTGAAATATTGTTGGATCTAGTTCTTTGCCAGTCAGTGTAATAAAAGGTACCTTCTTATGAAAAATAAAGCATGAATATTGCTAAGTTACCATTAGAGATCATATCACAAAATACTGTCATGGAATCAGAAAATTATTTTCATACCTTAGATATGAAATCACATTGTAATTTACTGCATGGAAATGATTAGTCATATCCTTTAAAAGAGTTTTGTTTTTAAAAGTAAACTCTTCCACATTTGGGCAATTTTTCTTAATAATTTTTTTCAGTTCTCAAAAGATCAGTTTTACCAAGACTTCTATACTCTTGTCAGCTTAACAGAATTCCAGCTGATTGGTGTAAATGATAATAAAATAAGAATGCCTTTATGTAGCTTTGGACCTTATTCTGTGGACGCTCCTGACATCACTATTTTAAAATGTGCCTAATCAGGACAGGTGGGTTAGCTTAAAATCATTGAGCTAAACATTGTTTTGAAACATCTTATCACTTTTATGCTTAATCAAAGAATTTTAGAACAAAGCTGTAATCCACAGCAAAATAACTTACAAGTGGGGAAAAAAACCTCTCAGCAGGTTTTAGATAATTTCTGCGTCCTGGGGGTAAAGCTAGGTTATGCAGAACATCTGTGAAAGCTATTAACAGTGAGTTTTCCACCAAGGGATGTTTTAATGAGTGCACATCATTGATCTGAAGGTACATTTATTGCAATCAATGAATGCATTCAGCTGTGTAAGAGAAGCATTGTCAAATGGAATGGGATTTTTAGTGAAATAAGTATAGTGCTAAATTTGATTATGTGTAAACCTCTAGGTCTAATATAACACATTATTTTAGATTATTTCCCACAGCTCTCTTAGGTCTGAAATTGGAAATTTATTTTTATTCAGATTGGATTATTGCCTTATAACATGAAGAGGAAGGAAAAGGGGGAAAAAGCAGTAAAAATTCCCACATAAATCTTACAGTGTTCCAACGGGAATATGGGAAAAATAAGTGATTGCCCTGCCACCCAGAACAAGCTCCATTGTTCATTTGTGATGTTGCATTCTGGATACCTATGGAATGCAGTTCAGATATCAACTCCTCTTTGTCTTAACCCTAATATTTTAAAATGTATACTGCTCACAAAAATAAAGGGAACGCAAACCCCTTCAGTTCCATGGTAAAATGTTCCCTTTATTTTTTTGAGCAGTATACTTTAAAAATGTACTTTAAAAAATGTACTTTGCCATTTCAGGCAAATGGCTGTCCAGTCTTTTCTTAAAAACTTCCAGTGCTGGAGCATTCACCGCTTCTGGAGGCAGGTTGTTCCACTGGTTAATTGTTCTAACTGTCAGGAAGTTTCTCCTTAGTTCTAGGTTGCTTCTCTCCTTGATCAGTTTCCATCCGTTGCTTCTTGTCCTGCCTTCAGGCGCTTTGGAGAATAGCTTGACTCCCTCTTCTTTGTGGCAGCCCCTGTTTCTTTTAAGAAACAATGGAACTAATGTTGTCTTTGTTGATGGGAGAGGTAACAGACTTGAGAAGAAGCCTTAACTTGGGCTTCTGCTTCTCTGCAGCTCTGGGAGCCCAAATGGCTTGGATCCCTCCTGGCTGCTTGTCAGTAGCTACATTTTGTTTCCAGAAGTGCATTAAGAGAGAAACTGGGAAGCCTGGTTGTCTCTGCGCTTACTGCACCTCACAACTGTTCCCCTGGATCTCCCACTCACTCTAGGCTAGTGATTCTTCTGGTGGTAGAAATCACCTGGTAAAGCGGGAACTTGTCAACCCATTTTTGCTTTCTTCCACTCTTTCTCAGGTTTTTAAGAGCCATAGTGTAGCTGTAATTGGGTCAGTTTTGCCCCTTGTTTTTCTCATTCCCTGAATTTACTGAACCAAATTGTTCATAAAAGCATCTGTTACCTCACAAAATCTCAGTTCCTTCTTTAAATGTTTCTCGCCACTTCTAATCACCCCACCCACACTGCTTTGTGGGACATAAAGCAAAGGTTCCCATGTCTCCCCTCTTCCTCAAAAGTTGAGATTTCTTTTAAAGAATTGCCTCCGGTGAGATTGGTGGCCTACAAATTTAATAAATAAATAAAGATGGGTGTAGAGTATTTGGCAGATATTCCCACACATGACTACTGATATTTGGGGGGGGGGGAATAAACCAGAGGGCTCCACTAGTTGCTTCCTTTGTTGTGCATTCAATCTTTAAGGATAGAGACGTTTACCTGCCATGTTACTGAGCCAGAATAAAGCCCAGCCTTTGGTCAGTAAATGTTAAACTGGCATACTTTTATGCCAGTTTAAGAACTGGTAGATGGAATTTTAATGCAGCCATGAGGAGTCTTAATCTATTTTAATCCAAGGCCACTCAGTATACTTATTTCTTCAGGCCTTTCTAGCTTTGCAAGTCAACCTTTGCTTCCATCCTATTCCTCCATGATCCATACATTGCCCTTTAAAAAAGAATAAAACCTTCTTAGGCTACCCAATAATTTTATTTTCTCCTTCCTCTCACTTAATTATTTTTAAATTATTTTTTATTACTCTTCCTCTGCAATTTTCTAATGCTTTAGAATATGAACTACCACAGGCAGCGCTCTTTTTCTGTGAAGTGGACAAAATGGTTTCTAGGGCTTTTCTGAATTTTGGTATCAATGGACACTGATAAATTCACTCTGAACATAGAGTATTGTAAAGTGACTTGTAGTGGTTGACACCTGTGAGGGTCTGGTTAAATATTTCTCCTTTTCTTCGTATAGGATTCTTTTTCAAAAGTAGCTGGCCACACTGGATGCCTCTGCATTGACCCTTGTGGGAGAGTGGGAATGATAAAACAGAAAAAGCAATTTATATAATCAAAATATTTCTAAGTCACTGTTGTTTTCAGGAAAGGAATAAAACTTAGATGGAAGAAGGAAACAGTCTTAAAAATAGAATATTAAAAAAAACCCAGACCACTCTGTTTGGAGAAGCCTGAGAGTTAGAAAACACAAGCTACTAACCTGTGCAACAAAGCAACCAACTGTATGTTTGAAGTGAAAACAATAAAAGAGCCAATTTTCAGGGAAGCTTTCTTAGAAAATCCCAGTGGGAAGCCGGGCAAGATAATCTCCTGCTGGGATTGTGTCGCAGCTATTTCACCTGTTGCTTTTCAAAAGACATACTTATTTTACCTGTTCTTATTTTTGTTCTTCCTTACAGCTAGGCATTCATGGATATGCTTTTGCAATTACAAATAATGGATATATTCTGACTCATCCTGAACTCAGGCCTCTGGTAAGATCATGAAGTACTTGATAAAGGTTTCTCCCCCCCCCCTATTTTTACCCCTTCTCAACATATAGCAAATGTAGCATTTAAAGTAAAAAAAAAAAAAAGGACAAATTATTGATTCTACAGCAAACTGTTTAAAAAAAAAAAGTTGATTAACATAAATGCTACAGGGATTTCAGTATGAGATCCAGCATAAATGACAATGGGGGTTGTTTGGTGATTCAGAGAAGTGCAAGTTGCAGAGTAAAGGACTCGGATGCCTAAAAATTCAGAAAGGGAAAGCCATAAATTGCAGCAATTATGTACACTTACATTGAAATGGAATGCTGTACTTCTAGCTAAAAGCCCCTATTTGTCATGTTTAAGTAGATTCCAATTTATAAATTGTAGAAATGTTATAAAAAGTGCCCTCGCTCCTCCCTGAAAAAAGACAGAATAAAGATCTTTCCCAGTTTAAAAATCAAGTAGCAATACAGGGAGTCCTCAGCTTACAACCACAATTGAACCCAGCATTTCTGTTGCCAAGCGAAATATTTGTTAAGTGAATTTTACCTCATTTTGCAACCTTTCTTGCTATAGTTGTTAAGTTGGTAACCCGGGTGTTAAACAAATCTGACTTCCCCGTTGACTTTGCTTGTCAGAAGGACTCAAAAGGGGATCACATGACCCCCTGGGACACTGCGACCGTCATAAACATGAGTCAGTTGCCATGCGTCCAAATTTTAATCACATGACCGTAGGGATCTGCAACAGTGTGAAAAACAGTCATAGGTCACCTTTTCAATGTCGTTGTAACTTTGAACGGTCACTAAATGAACTGTTGTATTCACTTCTATTGCTATTACTTTTATCTCTCAGTTAACTGATATAAGAACAGTTTTTGTGAAGTGCCACATACACACAAACACAGACAGACATTTCTTAAGAGTTTCAGCGCCATCACATATTGCTAAAAGAATGGCATTAAAGGATTCACTAAAATATTAGTTGGATGCAATGTAACATCAGAATTAAATAATAAATTAACACAAGCAATAAGAATATTTATCAGAAGTATGCTTGCATATCATACATTTGGAATCATTTGATTCTGTTGTATATAAAGCTATGATTGATTGCATCCTTATCCCTCTAAACATTTAGATTTGGCTTAGTTAATATTTACATTTTAGCAGATTCGGTCAGGAGATTAAAAGATACTATTGGGACACCCCAAAAATCTGCCAAGATTTCCCTCCTGTACCCCTGTTGTTCTATTTTAAAAAGCAATAACACTGAAGAAACATATTATATGCTTTTGAACCAGCTTATTGTAGAAAAAGGTTTTGAAACCTTTCTCTAGTACCATTTCTTGGACATGAAGGACTTCAGTTGTTGCATCCATATTATGGAGGTTAAAGGTAAAGATTCCCTGAAACCAACTAAGGGTGTCATGCAATATCTTCATCAGCACAATTCTTCTCTCCACCTGTATCCAATACAGTCTAGGTTAAAAATTGCTGAATTCATGAGCCCAGCTGACAGGTAAAGAAGCGTATGGTAAAGAGAGTGGAAGCAGCTGATCACACGTGAACTCCACCTTCAGTAAGGCCTTTAAGAGAGTGGTATTGATGGCAGCAAGGGGCCAAATCATCTAGTTCTGATTTTGAGGCTGAAAGTAGTAACTGGATAGCCATGGAGAACAAACACACTAGAGCCGGGGTGTCAAACTGCCGGCCTGCAAGCCAGATGTGTCATGCCGAAACCACACCCAACCCATTGCCGGCAATGGAAAAAAAGTTGCGATACATCGCGACACATCATGTGATGTTGCGAGTTTGACACCCCTGCACTAGAGCAATCCTTTGGATATACATGACTGTGGGGGCAACAGTCATTAATTACTATGACATTATTCCTGCCAACAAAGCAGACACAAAAGACACAAAATAGAAAATACTGGTAAGTATTATGCAGGCAGATGTCTCTGCAGAAACAAAATGTAATTCCTCCAGGTAAAAAACAGAGGTAGTGACCACAAGTGGCTACTTCCAATATGGCATAACTGGATCATGGATGAGTTAAAAGAAATATCATGAAGAAATAGCAGGGAAAAAATGGTTACTGAATTGGAGCCATAGTTAGAGGCAGGTGAGGAATTAACAGTAAAGCACAAGTGGAAGGGTCCTTGGAAATCTTCTAATCCAACTCTTACTGAGGTATGAAACCCTATGCCATTTCAGACAAATGGTTGTCCAATCTCTTCTTAAAAACCTTCAACGTTGGAGCATCCACAACTTCTGGAGGCAAGTCTTTCCACTGATTAATTGTTCTAACTGTCAGGAAATTTCTCCTTAGTTCTATGTTGCTTCTCTCCTTGATACAAGCTGTTATGGTAAAAGAGAGAATGCTTCTGAAACATTTTAGCTCAGGACAGGAGACTTTCAGTATATTTCTGAAGTAAGCACTGTGTGCAGCTTGGCATACCATTATGAATAATAGTTCAAGAGCCTGTTGCAATAGTGTTATGCTCCGTGTATATCAAGTAAGTTCTAATTTTTTAGTTGACAATTTGGCCAGGCTACAGAGTTTCTTGTTAAAGAAGCTTTTGACAAGTCATTTAAAAGTGTTCTCCTTTTTAAAAAAAATGTCATAAAAGAGTAGGAAATGAAAACTGGTGATTGACTTTAAGAAAATTACAATGGATTAGAAAAAAATGTTTTGAAGAAGAGTTAAAAGACTAGAGGACTAGATTTATTAAATGGAATATTTAAAGATTAAATATATTTTTAATTATAGTAAAAAAGAATGAAATGTTTTTGAAAATAAATATGTATTAGCTTATAGGAAATAGGGATTTTAAGTAGCATATTAGCTTTTTATTTTTTTTAATTCTTATTCTTTTTTTCTTTTTTTAGTCTTATTTATTCCTTAAGAAAGGTAAAAGTATTGGGTTGGCTTACATGAGAAAAAATAGACTTAAATATTTAAATGTAATTAACTTTAAGAAAATCTTAACCAGTAAGAATGTTTTGAACATTGTGGGAAAAAGAAATGTAAACAAGAACTGTAAACAGGATCTATGATGAGACAACCAGAATGACTAGATAGAAAAGGAATATTATATTGATGTGATTATTATCTGTAGAAATATTAGAAAACTTTTATACTCAATCATCATTCATTAAAACAACAAGAATTATATTAAGTTAAGGTTGGTAAAAGAGAACATTATGGGAAAAAGAGGAAAACAACTAAAGTTATTGTGTGGATTATAGATTATAGAAATCAACTGTTAGTGGATGTTTCTTAAATGGAAACCCAGACAACACACTGTTTATCGAATATCAAGGTGATTATGTTAAAAAATTAATAAAACATATTTTTTAAAAAAAAGGAAAAATGGAATTTGAAGTAGGAAAGTTATGCTGTTTCTTAGAATAATATCCACTATGCAGATCAATTCTTTGATGCTTTTGAGATGCTCACAAAACCCACGATCCAATATTAAGTCTTAAGTCTATTGAAATATGCACATATAAATTTGAATTGGATCATTGCCATGATAAATTGGAGTTACAACAGACACAGGGGTTCCTATTCTGTCATCTTCTCTTTATTTATGATTTTGCCATTATATAAATTAAATCTCATAAATTCCCTGTTTCAGTGGGATCTATGTAATGTATTTTAACAATAATAAATGATCCAGGACTGACTGGCAAATGATGTAATTCAGGACAGCAGATTTTTTTAAAAAATGGGAAAAAGTGGTTATGCTTTCTGTCCTTACAACACTGACATTTCTGGGTCATTACCATACACCAAGGGTCTTCAAACTTGGTCCTTTTATGACTTGTGGACTTCAACTCCCAGAATTCCTCAGCCAGCATGCCTGGCTGAGGAATTCTGGGAGTTGAAGTCCACAAGTCATAAAAGGGCCAAGTTTGAAGACCCCTGCCATACACAATCATTCCATTAGAAAGATCACAGATAAATAAAGTTATGAACTTGGAATTGGGAACTTTGAATTCGCTATCTTATATTCTAATGCTATTTCTACTGGACTAAATAAATTGGCCCATAAATTGAAAATACACCCCATGAACATCATCCTAGGTACAGTGTCTATACTTATCCTTTCCTAGTAGGTTGGAGGTAACTCTCCAATTCCCAACTCATAGTTTCTGGGAATTCTGGGAATTGTAGTTCCATGACATCTGGAGACCCTCAGGCGATAGAATGTTCCAGTAAGTTATGTTACCCAGAGATGCTTCTGGCATGAAGAGCAGTTGGTGAAATGAACTCCAGTAATCAAATTGTTAGTAATGATAACTAATGATGGGAAATTCCCATTGGATGACCAACAAAATTTCTTTGTTTAAAGTTGTGCCGTGATTACTACAATTGTTTATTTCATGGAAAATTGAATTTCTTTTGGCTCAGAAGACATTATGTGTATGAAGTAATTGTATCACAAAAATTGCCCTCACATCAGTTCGGTTTCTAGGATTTAGAGGACTGGATTTGTTTATGTTCTTGCTTAATAAAATATTAGCAAGACACAAATAAAGAAAAAAGTAACATGCTAATGATAGCCAAATACCCAATTCATTTTTTTTTCTGAAAATACAATGCCAGTTCCATGATTGACCTACAATTCCATTCTAATTTTGGGGGGGAAACCAATAGATGCTAGGTTGTGGGGCTCGTGAAAGCAATTTAACAATGCTCCCGTTTAATTATTTGGAGACTAACAGGGTAAGATATGCTCAGGTATAAAACAAACATCCTGCCTCGTGACTTCCACATATGTTAACTTCCATTATTGCTTGCTGGTGGCCCCACTGGCTGGCTTCTAGTCAAACATGAGAAGTGAATTTGAGAAAAATCTTTGATTTTCTAATGTAAACATTTATGGTCCATTGAGAGATGATATAATCTTTGGTAAAAAAATGGCTGGAATAAAATTATTTTAGCAAAAATATCTATCTTTTTTAAACCGGTATTCTCCAGAACCCATG